GATCCAATGGCGAAAATGGCTCCCCTAAGAAAGGGAGAGGGGCCTCGGGCAAGCGGAAGAAAGCTCCCCCCAAGAAGAGCCCTTTAAATGGAGTGAGCCAGGAGGGAAAGCAGGTCCAGAGAAATGCTGCCAACGCCAGGGAGAGGGCAAGAATGAGGGTCCTTAGCAAAGCCTTCTCCAGGCTTAAGACCACCTTGCCCTGGGTGCCCCCAGACACCAAGCTTTCCAAACTGGACACCTTGAGGTTGGCCTCCAGCTACATCGCTCACTTGAGGCAGATCCTGGCCAATGATAAGTACGAAAATGGCTACATCCACCCCGTCAACCTGGTAAGTCACGGCCCACGGGGACCAGGTGCTCTGCGCGTGTGTGCATGGGGAAAGGCGGACGAGGAGCTGGGACGAGCATGCAAGGGGGAAAGCCTTCGCTGTGCTTCTCACAGAGATTTTGGTGCCAGTAGGGTGGCAAAGTGTACTGTGCCTGCCCCGTGCCCCAATAGCTGAGCAGATCGGGCCCCATCCACTGTTCCTGGCAATGCCCTCCAGGAGACAGGCAAAGTCCATGCTGGCCATAAATAGGTAGAGACAGGTTTTACTGCTGAGAACTGCCTGAGAAACCTCAGCAGGTTGATGGTAGCTTCTTACCTGCAAGCAGGCAGGCATAGGAATCTGGGTAGAGAAGAGTAGGAAGGACCCAAACCAAGGACACAGGGTTTATTCTTATTCCTCCTCTCTAGCCTAACGTTTCCTGCCATAATACTCTGCTCAAGCCCTAGCGATTTTTAAGACAGAGCTCTCCAGGCTCTGCACTCAGCCACTCAGACTTGCTGAGTCCAGGACGTTTCTCTGACCCGTGTAAGCTGGCAAGAGAGAAATAAATACCAATGCAGACTCCCCAAGGGGGGTGTCTGCCCCAGGCACACTCCGCAAAGCCTCCCTGAGCTGCATGGCGTCCCACCTCCCACAGAAAGTTTTCCCCAGCAGCCCAGGGTCTCCATCCACAGTCATCAAAACCACACAGTTTCCAGCTCTAAAAATATGTGCAATTAATGTAAATCAGGGGTGGGCGAGATCTGCCCAGGCTCTTTTTAAATATCCAGTCTTTACACTGCCCACACATGTGGACTCTGCTGGATAAAGGGATGGCAGAAAGAATCTGTGGGGACGTTTCACTGGAGTCCAGCTCCACCTTTTGAGATCTGGACTCTGCAGGAAAGCACATTACCCGCTGTGTCAGCTGATAAGGGCCTGGGAGATAATTTTTGGCTAAAAACAAAGTCCTCACCACAACAACATGGGGGAAAAAAAGTTAAAAAACACCAACACCCAGTCCAGATATAACCCACTC